CTCTGTTCAGGCCACCTTGAAAATAAAGGTGTAGTTGGCACCTTGCCGGGTATAAGCTGGCTTTCGTTTTGCAGCTTCTCAGGTATGCATAGTTCTTAGTAGTTCTCTATGTTCGCTTGATACCCTGCCCATGGAGATCATCACAGCTTGCGCCTTTACCGCGTGGGTTGGCGCGAAAGCACGTGGGTTTGCATTTTACCACACTATGTCCAGCTCAGAGGTGCTTCTTGGGGGATTTGGGCACTGGTGGACCTTGGAGCTTCCCCGCGCCGCAGCTAGAACCCAACTTGGGCAGCTTGGCAACGTGAGCTCGCGCGACCGATTGGTCGCGAAATGTCGAAAAAGTCTTGTTGGATGGATGGGCTTTCGGATGAATGATGAGCCAGGGTTTGGTTGGGTTCCTGGCTCACGTCGACCCGTTGACAACTCACCCTAACTCACCCGAACCCAGCAGATCCCTTTTCTGTGCATGGCCCTCCCAAGGGGCGACGAAAATGACGCTGCAGGCAACCTGTGCCGGGCGTATGGGCTCTTCATTTTTTGCTTCGCGGGCCATCCATGCCTGCCTGCACTACATGAAGGCATGCAGCAGATGGATCAGTGGAGTCTCGACGAGAAGACGAATAGGATGAAAAACGTCGGAAAGTATAGGAAAGTTAGAGGTTTCTAGGTCAGAGGGAGCACCAAATAAACATGTTTCAACAGGGTTTTGAGTTCACATCAACCGTGGTTCATATATAAGGCCCATGTTTTCAGGACATCTCGGGGTGCCATCTACTCCTTGAAACCCACTGCTGTATATCATCTAATTCCATCTAATTCCACCCTTGGCACTTGGCATGGGGATTTTGGAGAAACTTCTTTGTAAGACTCCCGGACCTTCCAGAGAAGCGACCCTTGTTCCAGCCGCTTCGCCGCTTCGCTTCATGGTGGGGACCAGAGAACATCGAGTGAGCCTTCTCCCAAACAATTCAAGCCATCTGGATTAGATCTGGAGAAAAAAACAGGTCTTCAGCCTCAGGACTTGAGGAGGTTTGAATTTCTGGAATCAGCTCCCATCAGTTTTGTTGGATGATAACTGTTAACTGTCTTGACGCATGTGTTTTGTTTCTGTTTCTGCCCCCGGATCCATCTCAATATGCCAACGAGAAAGGCTTCCCACCGTGATTCCTTGGACTGTGAATGTAGGATCTGGGTGAGGAGCACGGTGGGCTCAGTCTTTCCCTTCGACTTGGGGCGCCCAACATGAATTGGGGCACCAAACAGTCAAGTCCAATGTGGATTCAAGTCAAGTCTCATTGGTTTGAAACGCGTCATCGTTGACCTGTTTAGACCTGTCAGGGTCCACGAACCAGCGGAAAAAGACCGGCAACCAGTGGAGCCCATATGCTAGCCATTGCTAGCCCTAACCGTCCGACCGTGACTCACATCCCTTCCCCGGTTTGGGTTTGACGTACTCACCCCCACGTTTGACCAGCGTCTAGACGCTGATTCGAAACGACCGCTGACTCGTCTCTGCCTAGGAGCTCCTGTGTGTTGTGGTCCTTCGGAATCGCGGCAGCCCTTCGGCATCGCAGAAAGCAACGAAACGCGACAGCGACGTGCGACGGCATCACCGGCAGGATCACCAGCGCTTGGGGACCAGAGGAAAGGGGTCATCCTTTCACAGTCATCCACGTACCCTTTTCTTTGCTCTAGGGAGTGTTTAAGTGTTTTTAGGAGTTGCAGGAAATGGGCAGAACTTGTCCAGAACTTGCCCTTGACTTCGAGCCGAGGTCTACTATTTGCTCCTGGGCCTAGCGGCTTTCCTGGCACATGGCGACACACTCCACCCAGTTTTCACACAGGACCAGATCTCACGAGATCTCATGAGTGACTGTTTAATTGTCAGTGATTTGTCGCGATCCATAGTAGAACACTGGGTAGAACGTACTTCAGGTTACAAAGGGAAGGGTCTGGGCTCATTCTTTGACTTCTGTCAGAGCGGAAGCTTAGCAGAGAAATCATCTGGTGCAGCCCTGAAATGTCCTGACTGCAGGGGATAATTTGCAGTGTTTGAGCCCACATCACCATGCAAGGACATGAATGTTGGTTGGCTGAAACATGTGGCGGCTGCCTTCTTTGCAGTTCCTTGGATAGCATTGGAGATGAACAGGCGTTTCTTACTTGGGCCTGTTGGCCGGGGGTTGAACCTTCAGCCAAGTTTCGTTTTCGATCAGAACTAGGACGCATCTCCGGCCTTTTTGACAAGAGGTTGATTGAGGGCATTTAACTAGACATCAGGAACCCAGCTGATTGGTTGTTCGCGTCCGTTGACTGGTTGCTTTGTGGAGCCACTCCTGGATGTTGTTCGTTGTCGTTTGAATGATATGCTCGTGGCTCCTGCCGCAAGGCGAAAGGATGGTGTTGACCGTGTTGGTGCCCTCACATTCGGCAGAAACGGAGCCAGAGTTTTAACAGGACTGGAAAGAGGTGCAGTTGACCAAATTCAAGAACCCATCGTGCGAACACATGATGATGTGATTGATCCACCGGTGGGGTGGCTCTCCAAACCCCAAGAAAGGAACTTGGATGAACTTGCTAGGAGCCAGGACCTTCCCAGTGATCCTTTGAGATCTCAGAATCAGGGCACTTATATAAGTCTGTAAAGGGTCACTTACCAATCAGTATGTAAAAGTTCGGTCATTGGGTGGTGGTCCTGGAGTGTGATAGTGACTGATAGTGTGTCACTTCTTGCCAACAACCATTCTCCATTCGTGCCACCATTCGTGGCACTCTGTTGGCCCAAACGAATGGAGAACCTTTTTTTGTTTTTTTTTTGCTCCTCCACGAGGTGAAAATCCAATTCACCACGCCGGTCTTGATGCGCGTGGTCCTGCAGTCCATGCAGATTTGGCCCGAAGGCCCTCACGTCAAGGACCGGTTCGGCCTTCACCGGAGCGAACGTGGTCAGTGGAGGTCGCTTCAGCAATGTGAAGATCGGAATACACACCTTCAGGGGTGGATTCATACCCACCTTTTGATTTTCGTCGCTTTCGAATGGGTGAAGATCGTGAGCGTTCGCATCCAAACCTTCACAGGGCGGTCCGGTCCAGAGCTTTCCGGAGTGAAGAATCGGCTCTCTCAGTGAGTCAACAGGCTCACAGGATGAAGAAAGTGACCTCACTCATGACCATACTTGCTGCTTGGGAGGGGACCTGGGCTGTGCAAAGGAGCCACCAGAAGCCTAAAGACTTCAAATTCAAAACAATGATACCCACCTTTGCCTTGCTTTTGTGCGTGAACTGCGACAGGAGTTCATCAAGAACGGTGGCCTGCAATTGGTTAATTATGTTTTATTCTTGTGCCTTTCTGTGCCATTGATTCAGATGTAAACCACAGCGCAATCCACTCACTACTTCCATCATTGTTGGAAACTGGATAGGGGCATGGAAGGCAGAGTCTTTTTTACATAATAGTCTAGTGTGTGACAATCCCGGATAGTTTAGTTGACCAGACTTTCGACCAATCTGGAGTTGTAGGCTTTCCTGGAGACGCATCGTGATTGATGGATCAGTCGATCTTATTTCTGATGATCGCATCGGTGATTATTTCGCCTGAGTTTCCAAAAGCCATATGGACAAACGCGATGGTTGGCCAATGGCCTACCCAAACCTAGATTTTCCAACTCAAACAGCGGGCTTCCCAACACAATCCCCCATTCTCTAAAAAAATCGCAACAAGAACAACCATCCCAATGTTTACACCATCTACACCGTTTACGCCGTCGTGTACACCGTCTACACTGTCTACCCCGTTTACACCTTTTACACCGTCTACACCGTCTGCACCGTTTACACCGTCTACACCGTTGAAACCGTTACCGGCGTATCCGGTGTAAACAGCGTGGTCAGTGGTCAGCGTAACCAGCGTAACCAGCGAACAGCGTATCCAGCGTAAACAGCGAAACCAGCATAACCAGCGCAATCAGCGTAACCAGCGTAACCAGCGTCAACAGCGTATCCAGCGCAGCCAGCCACCGCCAGCGTACGAGCAGCGTACAATCACACTTTGCCACGTCGCTCTACTGTTTAACATCTTATCCCAACTGGCTTCTTCCTGGTTTCGGTACGTGCTTGATCTTTAACGCTACAGGCCCAGACCGTGGCTTCGCCCAGGCCTCCCGGTGGCTTCGGTGATTCTGCTCACCGGAAGCTCCGCGTGCTTCCTGGCCGGTGAGGTGGCTTCGGGCTGTGACGGACGGACGAGAGAGGAAAAAGGTGCCTTCAGAAGGATCCTTCAGAAGTTCATGATGTGCCTTTTTCATTTTGTTTGCAAGTGGCAATTAAATTGAATGTGTGTTTTGGTTGGAGTTGATTTTAACTGGACACGGGCAGATCCGGAGTCGAGTTGCTTTCTAGCTTGGAGATGGGATAGCTAGGGCGAATCACAAGGTTCCCTGTCCGTGCAGGCCCCGATGCTGGTTGGTATACTCGCACGCAGACTCACGAAGATAGAAGACCCGGTGACCCGGGTCGATCTGAGGCGATGACCAGGTAGATCTGAGGGTCTGAGGGAAAGAGGGAGAGATCTACCTGGTGAGTGCCACCGGCGGGGCTGTTCGGGCGTGCTAAAGCAGGTGGCTGCTTTAGCGTCTTTCGTCGGGGCTTTGCTGGTGAATTTGACCTCCATTGTGATCCCCTGCGCGCCTGGGCGAATCTTATTGGCAGGGAAGGTCGCCCCTGAAGATTGCCAGGGCTACCAGGTGTTTGCAGATTCACGCCTGTGACAGGCGTGAGCCCATGCTGGGAGCCAAGCCAACCACAGGTCACATCGCCCAATTTGCCGTCTCGGTGTTTGGACTAGAATGAGGTGTGCTTTAGAATGTGCTGGACTTATATTTATAATATATATATATGGCCCTGTTTTGTGAACGAAGTGGAGAATTGGATGGTTCTGCTTGGTATTGCATGGTTTTGCACGGGTCTCTCCGTCCTCGGGCAGCATTTTGGAATCGGATGGAATCGGTGTTGGCTCCATGGACCTTTATGTCTTTGAGAAGGAAGAGAGAGAGAGAGAGCCTTTGGATCTACATGGCGAACACCAGTTTATCACGTGATGTTCAAGGAGGCCGCAGCCTAAAAGGAGAATGACCAAGGGGCTGTAGACGGGAGGCTCAGTGCTCAGTGCCATGTCTTCATGGCACCGCCCCCATTACAAACATCAATTTCACCATGGGAACAAAACTGTAGGGAGTCTTTTTCACCAGATCTACTTTCCCTGACCCGCATGGATGACATCCATTCCACCATTCGACCTTGCATCCAGGTCATGTACATGCGCCTCTCGGGCTGGTCTCAGCTGCCTGACAAAAATCGCGCCAAAGTCCTCCTTTGTGGCGCCCTGGTGCTGTTCGGGGTCGTGACAGCTGTCGCAGGCGCGGCATGGTGCAGTGGGGTTCCGGGGCGGAAGCAGTGGGAAGCTGCTGTAGGAGGAACTCTGAGCATCATGTTGACCAGGAGAAATCAGAAGCAAAAGATGTGGAGTCTTCTTGAAGCATATCAATGACGTCCATGCTGTTAGTAAGGCTCAACCATACAGCCGAGGGCGGCCATCGTGCAAGGCACCTACCTGGCTGTGGGCGACATGAGGCACGTGAAATCGTAATCCAAGCCTGCCAAGAAAGGGATAGTACGTGCCGAAGACCTTGGGTGAACGGAGGAGAGGAGTTCCTCCCTCTATCATTTTGTGGTGTCTCAGGGGGGAGCGAATGTTCAGGAGCAAGACTCAAACGGCAATGAGATGGGTTACACGGTTACCAGGTACCCGAACCTATGGTCACTTGGAGCCTCTTCCCTCGGATGTGATTTGAGTAGTTTGGATCGATGAGTTCACCCCGGCACCTGTGATTGCTGGTCAAGCACCGAATCCCAGCTCCACCTGGTCAGAGCAAGGCGTGGCTTTTTTGCCGCTCGGGAGCCTTAGCTACCGAGCCTGCTTGAGAAAAAGAAATGTAGACATAGGTAGACATTTTATATATTATCTATCTAGCGCACGGAAGAGCAGACAACTTGAGCGCATCATTGATTTCTTTCCGAAGGTTACTATGTCTATGTTTCCTTCGCGTTCGCGCGTCTAATTCAACCAGCCCAACGTCGGCTGTGGAATCCCCTGACCCCGACCGACCGTCATCGGGGTGAGCCCAGCAGCTCCCCAGAATGACTGGAGGTGAAGATTGCAGACCATGTAACTCTATATCCGAGGTACTTTCCTACGAATCCAAGTAGCAAACTGTTGATCTATACCTGGAATGATGTGGAACTCTTGAAGCTTAATCAAGCTGAATTGCTTAAGGTTCTGGGGATGCTATTGGAATCTGTGTCTGCTGAAGCTCAGACATCACAACGCCTGCGAAGCTCCCGCCAAACTGAGCAGATTTGGGCAGGAACACAAATTCCCAACCGGTGTAACGGTATAGGCACTCTCCGTGCCAACATGCTGCACACGCTGTGAAAGGCAGACACCTCGTCCTACAAAAAATGCTAAGAACACCCACATGCATCCACATGCACAGACCCCCCACACACACACACACACACACAAATATGATTATATATACACTGTATATAAATCGTGTTTGATAAGAAAGGCGATGTTGCCAGGCCCATGCCAGGACCACATGGCTTGGAGCTTTGCACAAATACCTTCCAATACCCGTAGATGGGCCTTCTGTGAAGGCCTTGGAAGCCTGGAACGACGGGATGTGGGAAGGGCGCTACGAAAGTAGTCCATGAGATGTTGGAAGTTCGAACTTGCATGACCCAGTCGAGCCATCTTCCAAAGACGTGAAACCAGTGGAATAGATCTTGAACATCAAAAAGGTCTAGCGCAGACCTCAGGTTTCAGCCGCGTTAATGTGAGAACCGACCGCACCAGATCTGCATGCATCCCAAGTGCCCGGACCGACCCGACCGCAGCTTCCAATCCATTACTTCAAACCGCGAAGATCGTGGCACTGCCTCGCCGGCGACCAGCGGCAGCTCAGACGTAAGTGGCTCCCCGGAAGCCTGAGGGCCTAGGGCGGGTAGACTATGGTATAATCTTGCCAGAAGCTTTTAAGTAAATCTTCACAAGATAACCAAAAGTCCCGCAGACCCTACCCAAGTACCTTAGGGGTATTATATAAGAGGTTTTGGGTATGGCATTGCAAGATGTTGTGGCATATCAATAGTTCAGTGTGAAGAATCATTGCTGTGCAATAAGAATGCTTTCTCAGGCGTCAATTGTGCAGCTGACATATTTTCAGATGAACTGAGACCTTGATGACCTTGTAGACTTAGACCTCAAAGTGTTGTCCGGTGACCTGAAGACATTGAAATTGTCTTGTATATATCTAGAAATGACATATCTAGAATCAGGCCATAGAACTTCGTAGGCAAATTTAGAGCAAATTGCAAGGACCACCGTCCTCCAAGGGGTGCCCGAGATTTAGAGCAAAGCTGCTGAAACGAATCGCCCAGCAAAGCTGACTTCCTGCCAAACGGTTTTGCGGATCAGATGGATGTTTTATTCTCCAAATGGGTGAATCCCCCTTCTGGAGGGATATGTCATGATATGTCGGTTTTTCTCCCAGCCCCTTGCTTGCAAGTCCAAGATCTGCATACCCATCATCCCCGCGTGGGGGCCAGCGTGGAGGGTGGTGCAAAATGCTGGAGCAGTGCAGCATTGGGATTGAGCTGGCAGGGAAGGATTCAACAGATCGACCTACTTACTTTGCGGAGGAGTGATGCCACTTCCCCAATGTCTTCGAATGAATGGTTCGGGCAGTTGATGTTCCCCCCTTCCTGCAAAGTCGTACACATGATACAAAGTGCTACAAACTAGTAATATCAATCGAGGTCCACAACCAGGCCATGATCACGTTTGCACGCTTGGCTTAGCACGCCACCTTTACCGCAGCGAAACCAAGATGGGTAAGGCGGCGAAACCGTTTCATCTGGATTTGGACATGCCATATCCATTTTGGTTTTCACACTCCCTAGGGCTCCAAGTACCTCCTCAGAAGGTATTTGGACCCTCAAACCCACCCCAAACACCTTCTTAGAAGGTACTTGGAGCCCTAGGGACCAGAACCCTTGTCGACTACGTGTATTGTTGCTTGGAAGCCGGGGATCTTGCTCGCACCAACGAGGGCGATCGTTTCGGTGAACCGGTCCGACCGGCCGATAGGCTCGCTTTGAGTTCGCCCGGCTCATAGGCTCGCAGGTTTTTTGGTATGGTTTTCAGGTGGATTTCAGTTTCCAGTAGCCTCTTGTAGGCCTTTGGAATTGCCTTTCCACCCTCCGGTCCCAATTCGACAAGCCTAAGGAAGAAGCAACCGTACATGCGAAGCATCGGAGATCAGAGCATCAAGAGCAAAGAGTTCTGTGCCAAAGATCCTCGTCGGACACGCCACGACGGGTGAAACATGGTGAAATCCCTTTGTGGACAGGTTACGTCCAGAAAGGTGTTTTACTTCCGCAGCCCGGTGACAAGCTACTAGTAACAAATGCATCGCTACTAGTAACAAGTGCAGCGCTACTACGAGCAAGGACGCTACTAGGGGCTCCTGGCCTTACTACTAGGAACAAGAAGCTACTAGGAGCAAAAAGGACCAAGAAACAGATTCCTGAAGGACCAAGAGACGGCTCAGTGACGAGTCAGTCCACGGACTGCGTGGATCAGGGTTCAGGGCATCGACTGAGACGGCCGTTCTGGAATGGCAGCTTTGGAGATTGGCAAGGGCTGGTAGGAAAAAGAATGGCAACGAAACTCACCCCAGGACCTGTTCTGAAGATTCTTGATGAAAGACCGAAGAAGCAGATTCCAAAACCCAATGGACTAGCCTGATGGTAAACAGACGGGATCCCAAGGGTGCAAGTTCCCTTTTTTCATCGCCGAAGCGAGCCCGAGGACCTTTGGGTCATCGAGCCGGCTTCCCATGAGTTCTTGAAGGCTCTTGAGTGTGAGACATGAGTGTGTGTGTGTGTGTGTGTCCCACCCTGGACAAAGGGTTTTCCACCACCATCCTTCCACAAGCAGGGGGCCAGCGGCCGACAAGCAAACGCTGGCTAACAAAGCTATGCTTGCTCGGTGGATGCGGTCAGAGACGTCTGACCGTGTACCTGCTAAAAAACTGTTG